AAAATATAAAAAAAACTTAAAATACAATTATATTTGGTCAATACATTTCAAATAATGTAGTTGAAATACAACTGTATTTAATGTAAGTGTTTTAATTTATTTAAATACATACGTATTTAAAATAATTCACTACAAATACAATTGTATTTCAAATTTTTTATTTGAAATACTTCATCAATTAATTGTACTTCAGATATTTAAATTAAATACTTGACTTAATACAATTGTATTTGATAAAGTAATTGAAATAATGAAGGCAAATACAAGTATAATTTTTCAACGTGTTTGAATTGAAAACATAATTGAACACGACAAACTGCGTTACCATGAAATTCAAAGTTTACATTTTTGTCTTATTCTATGGCCATACCTAAACGTAATATATAATGATTCAAAGAAAATTCAACACTATTTCATGTCTATTAGTATTACCCAAACCCAACCATATAAAATTTTTGTTAAAGGACTTAAGGTGAATTCATTGCAAGATTTTAAGTCATGAGGATGAATATTTCTAGTTTCTTATTTTTATATTAAATTGTTGTTTAATTTAGTTTAATTTAAATCATTATAGAGCGTTTTTAAGCCAAAAATTAAATAGAGCTACTTCTAGTTATAGAGCTTTTGTGTTCTGTAAAAAAAAATTCTGGTACCTGGTGAGACATCATATAATTAAAAAATCTTTATCAACCTCAGCGTTTGTACATACATAAATTATTAAAATTATGTAGGGAGCCGCCATGCATTTTTTAGGAGAATGTGTTGTGAGTGGGGAAATCACTTGGAACAACCCATACTGGAGCGGCCCCGAAGGGCTTTAATTTCGTGCATTTGTATTTAAAATACAATTTTTAATACAACTGTATTTTATCAAGGTATTTAAAATAATTAACATACAAATGTATTTAAGCAAATTATTTCAAATACTTCATCAAATACAATTATATCTGAAATAATGTATTTCAAATATAAATGTATTTCGAACACTTTATTTTAAATAAAGTATTTGAACTACTTTCTATTTTAATATTGTATTTAATATTTATTGTAATTAAATGCAAATTTATTTAAAATACAAACGTATCTGATNTAAGCAAATATTCTTCTAAACAATTTTTAATGATTGAAGCATTTTATTTGAAATAAGATATTTATTCAAGTGCTTTGTTTGAATTACTATTCCAAATATAATTATAAATAACGTATTAAGTTATATATGTATTGTGGCACAGGGATCTTATGCCACCCTAATGACTGCGTCTCAGCGATGAAGCCATCTAAATTGTTACTAAGATATTAAATAGAGAAACCGCGAAGCAAATACAAAATACATAATATAAAACGCGAGAAAGGTAACAACTATGATGCGAAAGCCCAGGACAAACTTATAAATTTAACGGTAATAATTAAACAACTAAAACATGAAACTACTTTACTAAAATCATAGGAAATTAATTGTGAAAGCCTTTACGTTAATTGATGAAGGATAGGATGGGTTGGGTCGAACTAACTAAAAAACGCTTTTTATGAGCCACTGATAAAGATATAATTTGTGGCTCAAAGAAGGAAACTCTTGCGAGAAAACCCCCTAAGATGAAAAAAATGATCGATACAAAATTGAATAGAAAGAAAAATAACCTGGTTTGAATTGGTGTGTAGATGTGGAGGTGTAAATGTGTAAGAGTGTGAGTGTAAGTACGTGTCCGCACCGTTCTCCTTCTCGTCTTGGTACCACGGTTCCACGAGTGCGGATTTTCGCCGTAGGTGTTCACAGCACGTGGTGAAAGTTGACGCGGCACGTGGCTGTATTCTAGATTTAGATGAACAAAGACGAATTGATGCAAAAAACACGTTAATGCGTCGTGGCGCAACGAAAAACTTCTCTAAAACTCAAACGAGCAAAAATTACCCAAGACAAGCTACGTACACAATTTCTCAGAAAAAAAACTGGAAGTCACTCTGTAAAAAGCAAGTATCGGACTGAACGAGGCCTACTGAATTTTTCCAGTGGCGCTACCTTTTCTCTCTCCCTCAACCCCCCCCCCCTTTCTAATGATGCACGCCAATTAGTGGAGGTGTTATTCAACTCGAGTGTTAATCGGGTGTCGGGACGAGAAAAATGCCAAAGATGGGTGAGACAGGCTAAAAAGTAGGTTATGAAGTGGGAGAGAGAACGAGAATCTAGAGCAAAATAAGAAATGCGCGTAACGCGTGTGTGTGTGAAGTAAATGAATTTAAGCGCGTTTTTATGTGTTGATAAGGACGAACGTGCTGTGAGCTTAAATTCTCCTCCGCTCACGTGGCGGTACTCAACTTCAATTCAGCAACATTAATGGTTTTTTTAATTGTTATAAGGCTCAGGCGCATGATCGACTTACGTACACGTATATTTGGCACTCACCAACAGTTTCACCCATATTTTATTTACTTGTTACATTAAATAGATCTCGTTGCCACCGCCACCTACGCCACGGTGAAATTCAATTTAACATAATAATTATTGAATCATAAATTTAATAAAAACAAAAACGTAACTGTTTGTATTATGATCTTATTTTACATTTCAGCCGAGTGTAACTTGGACAGCGATTGCCCTTATGATAAATCTTGCCAAAACAATGTCTGTATAACGCCATGCTTAGCTGATAACATAATTTGTGGTCGGGGTGCTGAATGCATCGCAGTTGATCACCAAGCTCAATGTACATGCCCTACGGGAACTCAAGGTGACGCCAAAATCGCCTGCACTATGGCCCGTTGCCAATACAATGAAGACTGTGCAGATTACGAGGTTTGCGAAAGGTTTAATAAGATATGTCGACCAGTATGTGACGACAATAGCTGTGCTGAGGGAGCTATTTGCGAGGCTCAAGCGCACCAGCCAAAATGTCATTGCAAATATGGTACTCATGGCAATCCTTATGTTGAGTGCATTGGTAAGTAAAAATCTTTTTGTTTAATTTGTTAGTACTAACTATTCTTGTAACTAACACTTTCTTCCGATAGGTTCTAAATAACGTATCGTTTAAAATATTATAATATATTAAGCTAGTTTATCAAATAAAATATAATGGAAAAAAAGTGAACAAAAACAAGGAGCTTTTATAGCTTAGTGATACCGTACTAATCTCTTGGTCGAAGAGACCAAATGATTGTAGATTTGACTATTTCCTAAGAGTATTTAAGATTTGTTTCTTAGTCTTTTACGGTAAAAAAAAATAATCTGAGGTCTCTGACAAAAGCCCATCTGATTTTTAAGATAAATATTGTTAAAATTTCTTGGATGATAGTCTGGAATTTCAGGGGTTTTTTTCTATAAAGGTCAATACATGGAGCACTCAGATAATAAAATAGCAAATAGTTTTAAATATTGACTCGGTACAATAGATATTTAAGGTAAAGTAACTCTTATGAATTCGGCACCGGCTAAAATGTACTTAAAATTATTGCGACGACTGCAAATATTTGTTAGTAGGATGATCACATCGCTCAAGGAAGAAAATATGGCGATCCTCAAAATAGTGATAAGATAACAATTAATTAAATTAACATTTTTTGCTGAGTAGATACAAAATGGTAAGATACACGTATCAATAGTTGTCCAACTAAGGTCACTAATAAAAATAAGTAAAAAGTATCAGAAAAACCGCTGTATAACGTGCTATTTAAATCCAAAATAAGGAGAAGAGCCCCCTAGCAGGTACTTTGAGAAGTCAATCAAGCCCAAATTCAATGCAATCCGTTGCAAATTAAGAAAGAAAAGTTACATTTCCTGATCATAAAAGAGTATATCAGTGTGCATAATCTCAAATATAACTTTTTTAAAAAGTAATGCATTGATTTATCTAAAATTTTGACAGAACCTCTAAAATTAAAAGACAAACGCCAATTCTTTCATGGTTTTTGCAATAATACAGCTCAAATTAGAAACTCACTCAACATATGCAGATTAATAGGTTATGTGATGCCATTTACAATAAATATCAATTTTTAAAACTCAATAATTACAAAACTACGAGAAAAGCTGTGTTTATTTTTTTATTTCAGAGGCCCAGTTCAAACTTCAGATAATTCAATGCATTACTTTTTGAAAAAAGTTACATTTCAGATTATGCACACTGACACACTCTTTTGTGATCGGGAAATATAACTTTTCTCTCTTAATTTGCAACGGATTGCATTGAATTTGGGCTCGATTAATTCCTCAAAGTGCCAGCTTGGGGGCTCTTCTCCTTATTGTGGATTTAAACAGCTAGATAACTAGTTCTTAACTATAATCAGAGATTATAGAATGTACTCTTCTTGCATAGAAGGCCAGATTGGCCGTTTTAGCGTCCGCAGTATTTTCTCTTTATATTTTAGTTATGCCCCCTATAAGGCAGGCGGCGTTAGTGTCGGGGGACAACCGGGTAACTTACCCATAGATGCCGATAACTATTACCTTCCAAACAGCACGGCGAAATGCCTGATTATTAGTATCCTCTATATTACTGATTTTTGATGCGAAACTACTAAAAAACTTGTCTAAACTACAATTAATTAAGAAAATATCGGTAATGGAACTATAAAAAAAAGTTTTACATTAATTTTTCTCAACATGCATACCAAAAGTTTATGCAGAGGCACCTCACGAAATTCCACAAAATCTCATAGCAGATCTGTATAGTCGTTGGTTCAAAGGTAAAACTTTTGTTTTCAAACCCAAAGTTTTTGGGTTCAATGCACTTCTTCCAGCTATTTTTTATTTACTTCTGTATTTTCTTGTGAATCGTACAAAAACTTTTTAAATCATTTTTGTATCTAATATTTCTTAAATAATACATGTATTGAATATGTTATATTTATTTTTTATCGAAAAGAAACGAAAACGGTTTATGGCACATTTTTACAAAAGTTAATGTATATTGAAAAATTGAAGACTCTTAAATATAGACACGAGCGCGCAAAAAATGATTACATAGTAGAATATTCCTGTGCGAGAAGGTGGTAGTTTCTTCCATCGGGATAGGATTGTTACGTATGATATGCAGTGTAATGGAAAGACAGTTGTATTTTGATTATGTTTTAAATAAATCCCATACAAAATACAACTAACTTAACTAATGAAAGCAAAATAACTCGTGTATTAATAATCAAAAAACGATATTTAAAGGTTATAAAATTCAAACAAAAGATTCGAGACACTATATACACAGAAAAATACAAGAAAGCTTATGCATTCGTTAAAAAAATTCTAATTATCAGTAAGTTAAACGTAACATAATTTATACAGTACAATCAGAGAAAGTTAAGGAACTCATGCATAGTAAGTTTTTATGTAAGTATACTAAATATACTTTAAAAACTAATCGAATACAGGTCTGTATGAGATCGGATTTTAAGATTAATGGATAACGCAATAAGATAGTAAATGAGAAAAAAATATTTTTACCAACATTTTTAGCATACAAAAGATTTCTACAGTTGAAAATCTATATGGAGAATTAGAACTTAATTCTATATTTGAGCAAAGTAGAGTTATCAATGCTAACTTTGTTATGACAGCATTATTTTTCATAAAAATTGTATTCATTAAAAAATTGTTAAAATACTCAAAAGCCTTATTTAGAAATAACCATTTAATACATTAAATTTACAGGAATATTCTACTATGTAATCATTTTTTGCGCGCTCGTGTCTATATTTAAGAGTCTTCAATTTTTCAATATACATTAACTTTTGTTAAAATGTGCCATAAACAGTTTTCGTTTCTTTTCGATAAAAAATTAATATAACACATTCAATGCACGTATTATTTAAGAAATATTAGATACAAAAATGACTTAAAAAGTTTTTGTACGCTTCACAAGAAAATACAGAAGTAAATAAAAAAAGCTGGAAGAAGTGCATTGAACCCAAAAACTTTGGGTTTGAAAACAAAAGTTTTACCTTTGAACCAACGACTATACAGATCTGCTATGAGATTTTGTGGAATTTCGTATGCATGTTGAGAAAAATTAATGTAAAACTTTTTTTTATAGTTCCATTACCGATATTTTCTTAATTAATTGTAGTTTAGACAAGTTTTTTAGTAGTTTTGTATCAAAAATCAGTAATATATAGGATACTAATAATCAGGCATTTCGCCGTGCTGTTTGGAAGGTAATAGTTATCGGCATCTATGGGTAAGTTACCCGGTTGTCCCCCGACACTAACGCCGCCTGCCTTATGGGGGGCATAACTAAAATATAAAGAGAAAATACTGTGGACGCGAAAACGGCCGATCTGGCCTTCTATGCAGAAAGAGTATATTCTATATAATTTATGCTATAATTTCTCTTAATAGAGAAGTTGGTAAAGTAGAAACTCTGGCCGATATACTGAATGCCCCTAATATCTGAATAAGTTAGTTGTCTAAATCCTTTGACACCGTAAAAAAATTGTTTCAGTGGTTAAAACTTTTAAACCTTATTGATATCTATTACACCTTAATTATAAACACATTTACGAGGGCCATTTACTGAGATGCAGTAAAAGTGAGGTTGGCTAACCCTTATTTTCTGCTCCTTTTTTTAAGCGTTCAATTAAGAAAACTAATTCGAGAACTTTTTAAACTAAGTTATAGATAATAATAATTTTAAGTAACCCATTTTTGGATCGTGTATGCGGAAATTCTGAAGAATCATGTTGTTATACTAATAGCCAGAAATTCGACTAAAGAACTAATTTTGACATTTGTTACATTGCATTTTGCCTGCCCTGTCGACATTCTTACGTCAACGAAAACCTGTCCTGATGCAACACTCTAACACACCTTTGAACACATCGCACACCACCTAAAACGCCATAGTACTTTCACCCAAACCACTCTTCAACACTGCTGTTTGTCTCAGCTGTGCTCTTCCAATGAAAACTCCTTACCTAAAGGAGGCCCCACCGTGGACTGTCCATCGGGATGCAAACAGTTCCCGAGAGAAATGACCTGGATACATATTTTAGACACGTACAAATAAATAAATAAACATAAAACAAAATTTACTTTTAGACCACTCATTCATTTAATTTACATAAGGGGAACACTTCCAGAGAATCGACGCTACCTCAGACACTCACTCACAATTCGTAGATTTATACACACATTCCTGCACTCAGATCCCCACACCCGCACACCTTCATACAAGTGTCTTCTTTATATTCTCGCTTTCCACTCTCGCTCTCCTCTTTGCTCATCTTACCGGATGGATTTCTCTATCTTCTTCTCCTCTTTTCTAGCGTGAGACATACAAATAAGCATAGGCAAACACGCGTACACGGGTATTAAAAACAAGCTTCAGACATTAATAGTATAATACATACCTAGGCCAGAAAGTGGGACTATTACTGACCACGCTATATTATCAGCCAAACCAACGGCAAGGCTGGTAATACGCCATCAATAGTAGCCCCACTTTTTGGCCGTGGTACGTATAATATACTATTTCCTTACACCTCCGACGAAAGTTCGACACAAAATTTCATATGATTTGTACTCCTCATTGTACTCTTATTAATGATAAGTACCATGCATTCCTTATGCCACAAAATAATCGTTGGCCCTAAAAGGCCGTTGACTTGCAGTTTCTCCCGTATACTTTATAAACAGGAATGTTTTTTAAAGCCGTAAGGATTTAAAACGCACAAAAAATGTATAATAAAATGATGTGTTTTCTCTTATTTCACAACTTGATTACCACAGCAACAAAATCATTGAACTTAATATCTACAATTTTTATCGCCACAAATATACAAATACATATCCTACCAATTTAAAAATCTGAAAAATTCAAGAGATTACTGAGGGTTATAGTGGAAAGCTTATCTCTCATTTATTGAATTCTGTATTGATCAATTTTAATGTTGCTTTAATCTTAATAAATGTTCAGCGTCATTTTCTTGACGCATAAAATTGTATTCGTTA